TTAAAAGTAATTCTAACACAGTTGCTGGGAACCAGACATATGCCTCCTGTTAAGGGCAAGCACTCGTTAACCTGTCCCCAGGCATAATCTTTTCTAAGAAGAATCAAGAAAGTAAGACGGTCTACTGGCACGTACCTCTAGAACATCTATTCTATCTCCAGCAGAGACAAACCAAGACCCTGCTCCTAGGCTAGCCACAGCCACAGAGAAGACAGAACCACTACTACCCCAGAGCTGTGAGATCAGATACTACTTCCCTGTGTTGTTGTACAATCCTGGGAAGGCCATTTAACTCTCATCCCCTGGATTCCTACATCATAAAATGGGGATAATAATAACACTTATCCAAGGTGTAAAAATTAGGTGTGTTAATTAAAGGCCCACTGTAACCATACAGTGCCTAGGAATGATTAAAACATTCAGTAAGTGTTCTGGTAAGTTCCTGAGGCTCTGTATGACATGAGAACTGACCATTCAACAGTATTATCTAACAAAATTCTTCTATCCCCATGTACAAAATTCTCTATTCAACATCAAGGAAAAAAATATAAGACATATAAAAGCTGGGTCTTGTGGTACAAGACTGTATCCCTAGCTACTCAGGAGACTAAGGCAGGAAGATCACAAGTCAGAGGTTTGTCTGGGCTACAGAGTAAGTTCAAGGCTAGCCTAGGCAACTTAGTGAGACCCTGTCTCAACAAGTAAAGAGGGCTGGGGTACAGGTAGTGGTAGAAGGCTTGCCTCATATGCAAGGCCTTAGGTTCAATCCCTAGTCTCTCTCTCTCAGAAAGTGTGTGTGTGTGTGTGTGTGTGTGTGTGTGTGTGTGTGTGTGTGTGTGTTCACATTTACCCTCAGATACAGAAGAAAGTTTAAGTTCTCAATGCTCTAATGGCATTCTGCATTCTTTTCGCTACCATGGGTGCAGGCCTTGAGTTGGCTGTGGTATCTGACTGGACTGGAACTTGCTATGTAGACCAGTTGGTCTACAAGTCACAGAGCTCTGCCTGTCTGTGCCTCCCAAGTGCTGAGATTAAAAGCAGTATTATGCTCACAGCTTTTTTTTATTTTTTTATTTTTATTTTTATTTATTTTTTTTTTTTTTTGGTTTTTCGAGACAGGGTTTCTCTGTGGCTTTGGAGGCTGTCCTGGAACTCACTTTATAGACCAGGCTGGCCTCAAACTCACAGAGATCCGCCTGCCTCTGCCTCCCGAGTACTGGGATTAAAGGCGTGCGCCACCAACGCCGGGCTCAGCTTTTTTTTTTTTTTAAATATTCACTTATATACCAATTGTTGAACAAAGAAAGAAAATAACCCTTTACATTGTCAAAGGCACAAGAATTAAAATGGGCACTGCTGAAGCACAAACTGAATAACATTTCAGAAGACGACCTGGCAGAGACACGTCAAACCAAAAACAACCGCACGTCTAACCACCATTTTCTTCCCCAAGGAATTTCTTACTGAGTACCTGGCTCATGCCAATTTTGCTTTTAAAAAAATCAGACCTAAAAATTAAATACTAGCTATCCATTAAAGATATGGACTTACATGTTATTTCTCTGTACTTTTTAATTTTTGTAATACATTACTCTTTTTTGTTGTTGTTTATCAAGACATGTTTCTCTGTATTGCTTTGGAGGCTGTCCTGGAACTCACAGAGATCCGCCTGCCTCCATCTCCCGAGTGCTGGGACTAAAGGTGTGTGTCACCATCGCCCGGCATACATTACTCTTGTAAAATCTAAAGAATATGTATTTACAAAGACATACAAGGTTTAACTCTAAACAGGACACAGCATTCTTCAACAATTCTGCCCAAACAATGACGTAGTTTTTCATGGGATGATATCCAAGCACTATCAAAGTCAAGCAGCATCACCAAGGAGGACCTCCACTGTCTCACTTCCACCAGGACTGGGGGAAGAACGCTACAAAGTTGGAAAAAAACTCCCTAGGAAAATCCTACCTCTCAGCTGACTGACCCCAGGGTATCTACTATTTATCACAACCTGTTGGCTAAGCATCCCTTGCAAAAAGGCTTGGGCAGGCAAAGGATGGGAATTCCTAATCACCAAGGATTCACCAAAGCTCAACAGCCTCAACAGAGAGGAAGCTGTTCTGACTGCCCTGAGGCCACCTGCATCAAAGGAAGGCCTTTTGTTAAAACAACTTCTGAGGGTCCCACACAATAGACATGCCTGGCAAAGCTGCCTGCCATGAAAGCCTGGTAACTCCGAGTTCCACCTCTAGAAAATGCACATCATAATACACGATAATAGCAAGCTTTTTTTTTTTTTTTTTTTTTTTTTTTTGGTTTTTCTGAGACAGGGTTTCTCTGTAGCTTTGGAGCCTGTCCTGGAACTCGCTCTGTAGACCAGGGTGGCCTCAAACTCACAGAGATCCACCTGCCTCAGCCTCGAGTGCTGGGATTAAAGGCATGAGTCACCAATGCTGGGCTAACAAGCTTTATAATAAAGAAAATAAAAAGAAATCATCCATGTAAAGACTGTTTAATCTTTCTTCCTCTAGAGATGGACCATTTTGAAAAACTGAGGGTTCTTTAGGAATAATGTTTAGTAATGTTTAGTAACTAATACGTAAGTAATTGTTTAAAAATCGCTCATTAGAATAAGTATCAATCATAGGAAAGGCATATAGATTCTAAATTACTAACATAAAAATCATGCTTACTAAAAAGATACCACTTTTACGGGGCTGGGCAGTATGACTAACTTTTCTAATTTATGAACCACTTTAACAGCTCAAAGATTAGTGGTCAAAAGACCTTGAGCTCAACTGAGTCACCTCCACAGATGAAATCACAGGTGTTTGTGACAGAGAGAGAATACTTGCCCTCTTTATTGCCTCTTCAATTTCGGTTTGCAAATTGGTACTTAAATGTGTGACAAAAATGTCCTGGAAAACACCTGAGGTTTATCATGCTATAGAATGAAGACCCCTAATTTAAAACTAAAAACTGCAGCTGGGCACCTGGTGGCACATGCTTTTAGTCCAGCACTTGAGAGGCCAAAGCAGGTGGATCTCTGAGTTCAAGGCCTGCTCTATGAAGCTTCCAGAATAGTCAGGCCTATACAGAGACTCCCAGTCTCAAAAACAACAAAACGGGGGGGGATGAGAGCATTTGTGGCACAAGCATGAGCACCTGAGTCTGACTCCCCAGCACGCTCGCTACAATAAAATTAGCTTTACAAACTTCAAATTCATAATTTCTTAACCTATCAGATGTGTGAATTATACAACGGGGCATATTTCCATCAAACAGTTCCTGCAAACTCCAACTTTCCAAAACGGCAACTAATTCTTGTTTTATTCTTTTTTAGAATTTAATGTTGGATAATCCTTTCTGGTTGGTTGGAATGTTGTAGAAGCAGAGAATGTAGGCACGAATCAAAGGTGTAGTACCCACAAATTTAATTTCACCTTTACGTGAAATCAGAATACAGGAAAACATTTACTAAGTGGCGTTACGATACCATCATCCACCCTTTGTCAGACTGCTCAAGTTTGCCTTTACACAAAATGAATACATTACCCGTCGTTTAAAGTGATAACTCTGTGTGTGCTATTTGTTGTTAGGGACACCTAACTTTAAAACTCGGCAAATTTAACTGTACTTGAAAATTAAGTCAAACACTACCCTTTTCACCACCGAAAAGAACCCTGAAGCATCAATGGTGTTCTCTCCCCAGACCAGTAGAGGGAGACCAAGACATCTGGCCTGGCGGAGCGATGTTTCTGTAAAACTGGGGAGGGGGGAGCGGGGACTGTATTTAAATGCCCTGCTGTCAATCAAAGGATACTTCCTACAACCCCAGTCACCATATCGGCTACAACTCCCCAGCGGGCTCTCGTCAACATCCAACACCCAACGGAGCCCCCGAAACCCGCCTCACCTAAAGGTGACCGCAGGCTTTGTCACAACACCCAAATAAGGACTTTGGGAGCCCAACCCCAACTAGTTTCTTTGTTTAAATGCCTGCGAATCCCTCCCACGCCGGAGTCAAGAGGCTGTGGCGCCGCCCTTCATTAGCCTCACACTTTGATTACAAAACACACGAGTCGGCGGCCTGGCTGCGGAGGCGGCCCGGGCTCTCGCAAACGTCAAACCAGCGGCGCTGCGCGGCGGCGGCGGCATCCGAGGGCAACGTCCGCCACCGCACGGCCCCGAACTTAGCTGGCCCCGCCGCTGCGGGCCGTCCCGGCGTCGCCGGGGACCGCGCTCGGTGTAAACTTTGAGGCGCGACGGCGACGCCGGGGAGGGTGTGCGGCGCGGTGCCCGGCCTGGGTCGCCCGGCCCCCGGCCGCAGGGGGTGTGTTGCGGGCTGGGCCGGCCGAGCTGCGCCGTGACGGGGCCCCGCACCTCGCCAGCCGCCAGAGCCTCCCTCATCTGTTGCTCTGTTGACTCGCCGCCCCGCGCCGCGGTCCCGTCCCGTCCCGGTCCCCGTTCCGTCCCCGTCCCCGTCCCGCCGCCCAAGCAAGTTTGATAAAGAGACAAGGGGGCGCGACGGGGAGGACGCGCGGCAGGACCGAGCGGCGGCCGCCCGGAAGCCAAGCAGGCGCGGCGGCCGGCGAGGGCAGGCGCGGGGCGGCGGGAGCCCGGGACGCGGCGGCCGGGGCAGTGGGGGGCGACGGGCTGCGGGCCTGTCTGCGCTCCGCCGCCGCCCGAGCCGCGCCGCCCGCCGCGTCCGTCCCCTCGCCCGGGCTTCCCCTGCCAACTTCTCCGCCGGCCCCTTTGTTCCTGTTTGTTGTGGCGACTCTTCGCCCGGGCCGGCCGAGCCCACCGGCTCCGCTCCGCTCCGCAGCCGGCCCGGCAGGCGGGGGCCCCCCGCTCTCGCCTCCGCCCGGCCCGGCCCGGCCGCTCCGTGCCCGGCTTTCGGGACGTGGGGCGCGACGCGGCGGCCCAGCCCGAGGGAGGCGCAGGCGGCGGCCGGCCGGTGGCCGCGGGCGACGGCGGCGGGGCTGAGGGGGTTTATTTACCTGCCGTGGAACCAGTCCTTGCAGACATCGCACTCGATCATGAAGCGGTTCACGTCGTACGGCTGCCGGCACACACAGTACACGGGCGGAGGCGGAGGGGGCGCCGAGGCCCGGCCGGGAGCCGACACCGACACCGCAGCCGCGGCGGCTCCAGCTGCTGCTCCCGCGGCCACCGCCGCCGCCGCTCCGGCCATCTTTAAAAAACACACACACGCACGCACGCTCGCTCGCTCGCTCCTCCGCTCGCCGACTGGAGCGAGCGCAGCCGCCTGCCAGCGCCGCCTCCTGCAGCAGCCGGAGCAGCAGCCCCGGCGGCGGCGGCGGCGGCGGTGGAGGCGGCGGCGGCGGCAGCGGCGCCTCAGTGCGCGCGCGCGAGCGAGCGAGCGAGGTCGCGGCGCGGGGGCGGGGGCGGGAGGGGGAGCGAGAGGGGGGCGGCGCGCGCGACGCGCGAGGCCCTGGCTGGCGGCCGCTTCCGGCGCTCGGCGCGGGGCTGTGCGTCTCGCGCACGTTCTCAACCGCGGCGCGCGCTCCCTGCTCCTTCCGCGGCGACCGGCCCAAGGGCTGGCGGGGCCGGGAGGGGGCGGGGACGCCGACGCCGTGGGTACGGGCGCGCGGCTCGGGGGCGTGCGCGGAGCGGGTTTCGGGGGGGAGGAAGCCCCAGGCTCGGGGCGCTGACGGGGAGAGAGCGGGGGAGGCGCGAAGTTCCTGCCGCGTGGAGACGGGTGGTGGACGCGGTCGTTCCGTTCCGAGGCACAAAAGCCAGGAAGTTTCAGCCCTCCGGGGGCGCCGCGCTTCGCCGCTCCGCTCCGCGCGTCAGTTGGCAGCCGCCCGCCGAGGATGCCACCCCCGGGTGGCGTGGGCCCCCGCCGGCGTGACGCGTCGGGTGGCTGGCGGTGCCGCCCGGAGCGGAGGAATGCCCTGTGAGACGCACTCGAACTTCCCGGAGCGAGCGCGGGGCTCGGAGCCGCGGTCGGGAGGAAGAGCGTCGTCTCCGGGAGGGATTCCGTTAGTGTCGGTCGCCGGGGGAGGGGCGGAGGGCACGGCGAGAGCGGCGAGGAGCCGGCGTTTTCTATGGAGAACGAGACTTGGCTGCGACCGCTCTGCTGTGTACTGCTAATTGGGAGAAGGTGGGGAGAAAATTTGGACCCTCTTTTCCCTGGGAAGAGAGATGCTACCCCCCCCCAAAAAGAATCGTTGGATAGTCTTCATCGGTGCACCACAGGCTGGCACTTACTTATTTTTATTTTTTATGTTTAGTGAAAGATGAAGGCAAATCAGATGTCAGGTGATAAACTGAAGAATCAAAGCACCTAACAAATATCAACTAGAGAAATATGAACAGTAGAAGAAATGTTAAGGATTATCAAATCGAGTGTTGGAAGCTGAGTTTCTGTGAGCATTTATATCCACGAAAAGCAGTAAAGCTCCCTAGGTAACTTTTGTTTGGGGAGATGGGCAGGTGAGTCTAGGTTTTTTGTTTGTTTTGGTTTTTGGTTGTTTTTGTGGAGGAAAACGAGTAACTTGCCACAGTCTCAGAATTGGAACTAAACTTGTTAATCTATTCTACGACAAGTCCTTTCTGTATTACACTGCTTCTCACGTCACAGGAAAAGAAAAGCCTGAAAATCTTACTTGATATAAAGTCAATGGATTTGAAGCATATGTAACTTCAGCATATGTATCATGGGTTGACCAGTTCCCCAAAGATCTCTTAAAATTATGACCTATAGTGCCTTCCTTAATTACCACACTAAGGCAAAAAGGAGAAGAAAGAGGGAGGGAACGAAGAAAATAGAAAGAACTTAAGATTTTTGTAGAGGGAAGAAAATAAAAAGAATGAATTTAACTTTTTATAGAGGTTGCATGAGGTCCAAGGACAATACAACCAGTGAAGGAAAGGCAGCAGAAGCTGTCCTGTTAGAGCAGAGGCATCCATGGAGAAAGCCTCGCGCAGTGTTCTCTGAGGACACACCTGACTTTGGGAGAGTTAACACTTGGGAGATAATAAAGAGGGTACTGGTTACGTACACCGTGTTGGTCCAATAGGTAATTATACTGGGGAAAATGGAAGCTACATATATGGAAGAGGAAAACTAGAAAGCCTTTTCTGGCAGGCTAGTAATAGCAGGGTCAACCTCTATATGTACAAATATTAAGTATGTTCATACTCTGTCCCTTGAGAGACTCTGTGAGCAATGAATCCATAAAAATGAGTCAGTTTGGTTTCTAAATACAATTATCCATTTTTCTTAGCAAAATAGTTGATTCCAAGACTGGAGGAGAAAAAATACAATATGAATTTGGAGGCTTAGTAGTGTCAGATGAAAGTATTTAAGCAAAAAACTGCCTGGCATGGTGGCGCACATCTTTTAATGCCAGCACTCGGGAGGCAGAGGCAGGTGGATCTCTGTGAGTTTGAGGCCAGCATGGTCTATAGAGTGAGTTCCAGGACAGCGGGAATAAGCACTATAGCTGTTAACTATAATTATAATTGTTTGGAAGCCCTGTCTCAAAAACCAAACCAAAAAAAAGCAAAAACTAATAAAGCAGGTTAAAGGGCTATACATGTGCCAATTTGCACTTCTTGGACTTCACTGAGAATAAGTGAGCTTCATGGGAAAGACTGCGTCCATGCTGCGGCACTTGCGCACACTGCGGAAGAGAATTTTCCAGTCTCCCCCACCCACCGTTCCATCTGGAGGATGGCAAACTCACCTAGGGCTTGCTGGGCAAGCCCTTGAACCTGTTGAGCCATCCCACTGGCCCACAGCTGCATTCTTCTGTTGTTGATGATCACATTTTACAGCCCATCAAATAGCATGACAAGCTGTAACATAATTTCAAGTAAATCCCCACAAAGCTCTAGTCACTGTAAGGGAGTTGAATGTAGCTTGAGGAGGCGCACTTGGCCTAGCATGCCTGAGACCTAAGGTTCCACCACTGTAGCTGCAACTAAAGCGTGTAGCAGAGAATACGGGGGGGGGGGTAACTTTATGATGCTGACAAGCCCAGTAGACAGCACCTGAGACACCATCCGAGTCATCTGATCAAATGCCAGTATAGTGACAAATGGACGTTCAATTCCACTTAATAGAATTCATTAAGAAGAGCCTTAGTTAGTAAAGCCCTGTATGCATGTTTGGTCTACCTGATTGAGTCTGCAGTTTGGAAATGAAAATAGCTTTAAAGGGCACATGAAAAAAATCAGTAAGACAACATTAGGATAAAAAAATGTAGGGGGGGTAAAGAAGCTGTGCACACCAGTGTTCAATGCTGAGGAACTAGGGAATGCAAGACAGGACTCTGAATGATGCCAATATTTTAGTGTCAGCCTCCAGACATAGCAATTACGTACATGGGTTTGGATTTTGCATGCTATCTCTATGACAACTTATGCTGGAGTGTTAGGTTTTTTTATTTTAATGAAAATGATAAGAATATCTGCCTCAGCTTAGGGTTCATTAAATGAGATAACCAACTGCTGAGTACAGCTTAGCACATAATACGCCATATAGCTGTTAACTGTAATTACCTATAATTGTTTGGTTATTAATAGTATTAGAGAGGACGAAGGAGCAACTAGAAAATTACCCCAAATTAGAGTTTGAAAGAATTTTTAAAAATATCAACTGGCAGGATGGCTCAGAGGGGAAAGATGCTTGCCACCAAGCCTGACAACCTTGAGTTCTATCCCCAATATCTGCATAGTGGAAGCAGAGAACCAACTCCTGTAAGTTGTCCTCTGACCTATGCACACGCACACAGGCACGCGCGCAGGCACGCACGCACGCACGCGCACACACAAAGGAAAAGTACACCTTGCAGAAAGACACCTGCCTCCATACAAAGTTGACAAATTATGCTGGGACTGCCTCTGTCCAGTTTGTGGACGCTACAGAACTGGTGGTAAGTCTCTAGGTTTTGCATGTGTTTAGTACTCATCCACAAAACCATGTCTCTGTTAAGGAATATTTGCTCCAACTTAGCAATTCTGTTTATAGTACTATTGGCACTTTTTGTTTGTTTGTTTGTTTGTTTTTTGTTTGGTTGGTTGGTTTTCAAGACAGGGTTTCTGTGTATTGTTTTGGAGGCTGTTCTGGAACTTGCTCTGTAGACCATGCTGGTCTCGAACTCACAGAGATCCACCTGCCTCTGCCTCCTAAGTGCTGGGATCAAAGGCGTGTGCCACCACCGCCCGGCTTATTGGCACTTTTCTATCTCCGTAATTGCTAATTTTATGCATTAATTGGTAGTGGTTCATTGAGATTTTAATGTTTCTTAGATGTATGTGTGAGAATGTTTTGCTTGCATATATGTATTATGCACCACATGCATGGCTACAAGAAGTGTTAGAAGTTAAAAGGGAGTCACAGATGGTTGTAAACTACCATATGGTGCTGGGAACTGAACCTGGGTCCTCTGCAAGAGCAACCAGTGCTCTTACCCTGAGCCATCGCTCCAGCCTCGTGGTTTGTTTTTGTAAAGCACTTTCTATTACTTATCTCACAGTGGCTCATCGTATTAACCAACGGAGACAGAAACACCCTCACACTTGTAATGAGAAAGTGGGAAGGGTTAGTTCTGTGAGAGAGAGGGAAAAGGATAAATTCTGGTGAAGCAAGGAAACCCATCATAGGTGCTGGAGAGAGAAGGAAAACAGCCAGTATGTAAAACTAGCAGCTGTGCTAATAGTGTGGTTGGCCTTGCTTCTAATCAGGAGCTAGGAAAACGGTACACTGACAGTCCACACTAAGATACTGAAGGGCCAGCTGGGGTGGGACACACCTTTAATCCCAGCTCAGGGGGCAGAGTCAGCACGATCTCTGAGTTCAAGGCCAGTCTTGTCGTACAGAGTGAGTTCTGGGACAGCCAGGCCTACACAGAGAAGTCTGAAAAACAAAAACAAAACAAAAAAGATAGTATTGAAGGAGTCAGTGAGATTGCTAGGAAGTGAAGGCACTTGCTGCTAGGCCTGATATCCTGAGTGCAGTACCAGGAACCATGGAGTTGAAGAGCCAGCTCCTGAAAGTTGTTCTCTGACCTCAACATGTCTAGTGTGGCATGCATGTGCCTCAACTCCCCCCACGCTAAATAAATAAACGTAAATTTTTATTCCCTGTATATGTCTTATCAATCTTTTTGCCCATGAATAGCTCATTTATGCTCTAATAAATCTGTAGGTTCAACTGAATTGTGAGTTCTGTCTCAATTTCATTGCCTCAGATTTATTCCTTTATAGTTATGAATTATAACATTAACATTAAATCCAAAAGTGTTTGAAACTTTTTCTTTTCTAATTATATAGAAGTTGTAACCGGTTGGTCCCTAGTCCCAGCGCTTAGGAGGCAGAGCTAGATATATCTCTGTGAGTTTGAGGCCAGCCTGGTCTGCAGTGTGAGTTCGAGGACAGCCATAGCTAAATAGTAAAACCCTATCTGGGGAAAAAAACCAAAACTTGTAAAAGATGGAGCTGATCAGCGGCTCTGTTGGTAAAGTGCTTGTCACATCACATAGGCCTGGGAACCTGAGCTGAGTCCCTGCGCCAAGTAGGAAAGCCGGGTATGAAGCTCAGCGCTGGGGAGACACGGATGCTGACCGATGCTGGCCGTCCAGTCTAGCCACATGAGCTCCAGAGTCGGGGGAAGACTCTGTTGAAGAAGACACCCAGTACCAATCTGACCACTACACACACAGCGATGCATGCATGCACATAGGGAGAAAAGACAATTTTTGAGACAGGAATGTAGCTCTGGCTTGCCTCAGACACACAGAGATTGACCTCTGCCTTTGCTGAGCACTGACATTAGAAGCTGTAAACTGTCACTGGACACATTGCTTTACAGTGTAGCAGACAGAAATCCGGATTTTCAGCTATCTTTCTAAGTACTTCAGAAACAGTAACAAATGTATAATCAGCTGTAATATCCAGGACTTGTTTTTTTTAAATATTTATTTATCATGCATACACTGTTCTGAATGTTCTGGAAGGTACCAGATCCTACTATAGATGGTTGTGAGCCACCATGTGGTTACTGGGAATTGAACTCAGGTCCTCTGGAGGAGCAGACAGTGCTCTTAACCTCTGAGCCATCTCTCCAGCCCTATCCAGGACTTGTTAAGGTTTAAAAAAATGTTGTATCTCCTTATGCTTGATATTTTTCCCTGGCTGGCCTGGAACTCAGTATGTAGACCAGGTTGGCCTCATATAGAGATCCATCTGCCTGTCTCCCAAGTGCTGGGATTAAAAGCACTCACCACCACACCTAAAGACACTTTTAAACAAAAACACTAAGAAGTGACTTTAGCTCATGTAATAATCCTAAGTGTGGCTACTTGAGTTCACTCTACTTGGAGAGTGGAGTTACAGCTTGGTAAAACACCTGCATGGCATGAGTGAGTGAGGGTCTAGGTTCAGTCCTTAGCAACCCACCCCTACAGAAATAAAACAAGATTTTACAGTGTAGATACCATAAGGAAAAGGAAAGGAATATTAAAAATAGTTCTCGCTTTTAAGAATATGACAAATGACAGGGTTGAAGGAGCCATGAGAAAAGTTAATAGTGAGTTCCTCCAAACCCAGTATTTCCAGCTAGAGAAAGGGACATTCAGTCAAGGGCAGATACAGACTTGTATGAAAGACGTTAGGGAGATTAAAGCTAGGATGAGCTGGGCCCTACCGAAAATGAGTTACGGACAACTAAAAGCACCCTTTACTCCATAGGCAGAACACAAAAGGGAGCGCCAGTCGCAAATCCATGAGTCAGATGATGTGATACAGATGTATGAAAAAGCAAAATTGAGCGGATCTCTGTGAGTTCGAGGCCGGGCTAGACCGACAGCCTCAAAAACAATACAGAGAAACCCTGTCTCATAAAAACAAAACAAAAAAAATTGTTCAACCTGTTTCAGTTTTGTCACCCTTATCCAGGGGTATCTTTTTTCTTTTTTCTTTTTTTTTTTTTTTTTTGGTTTTTCGAGACAGGGTTTCTCTGTGGCTTTGGAGGCTGTCCTGGAACTCGCTCGGTAGACCAGGCTGATCTCGAACTCACAGTGATCCACCTGCCTCTGCCTCCCGAGTGCTGGGATTAAAGGTGTGCGCCACCAACGCCCGGCTCCAGGGGTATCTTTAAGGTAGGAAAAATTGTCTACAAAATAAAGATGGACAAGAAACTGAGAATTGATTTGACCCATTTATTTGTAGCAGGACTGGGTGGCCTAGAAAATTTCCCTGTTGAATCTAGATTGTTTTTATTTAGTGTATGCGTGCGTGCGTGTGTAAGTTCATGTGCTCTACAGGAGTACGGCAGCTCATGGAGGCCAGAGGAGGGCTTCAGATCCCCTAGAACTGGAGTTGCAGGTGGTTGTGAGCCACCACGTGGGTGCTAGGAATTGAGCCTGGGTTCTCTGTAAGAGCCGCCAGTGCTCTTAACCGCTGAGCCTCCATTTAAGTCTGCTGCCTTCAGACTTGGAACGCTTCTCTTTGAAGTCTTGCTCAAGAAACACAGTCTAGGGCTAGAGAAAGGCTGATGCACAGGAAGAAGGTATGACAGAGGGAGGGGAGAAACCGCATTGTCCAAGACAAATGGAAAAACGAATGATAGCAACACAAAGCGGCTGGCTGTGAAACCAGAGAACTGAGCAGAGGCTGGAGAGGAGAGCAGGGATTGTATGCCAGGGCTCTTCCGGTGGCTGGTACCTGAACACGGTAGGGGCTCTCCTTTTGAGACAGTGTGACCTTGTCTCAAAAAACAAAAAATAAATAAAATGAATAAACAAAGTAACCAGGTCTAGTGGCAGAAGCCTTTACTCCCATCTACTGATGAGGATAAGGCAGGCAGCTAACAAATTCAAGGGCTGACTGCAGTACACAGTGAGTTTAAGGCCAACCTGAACAAGTTAGTAAGGTCCTGTTCCAAAACAAAAGAGGATACAGCTCAGAGTAGTGGAGTGCTCCCCTGGCATGCATGAGGCTGCTCTAGGATTGTTTATTTAATCCCTAGTACTTTAGGAAGACGAAAACAGTCAGATACTATGCCTAAATTATCTTGAATATGCCAAAATAATGACCTATTCACAGGGACTGGGACCCACGGGCAGGAATCTGAAGTACAATTCAAGGAAGGGTGATTTATGCTGCGGTGCTTAAATACTTCCTGCTAAGATTCATGGGCCTGGGAGAATGGAAAAGACAAACCCCAGAACTAGAGTTCAGCACAGGCACAGAGAACAACCTGTCAGATCTGACAGGAAGAAGGCTGCATGGAAGATGAAGGTGTCTGGAAATTAGCCAGTGAGACTGGAAGGTCATTGGAAATGCTCTTTTAACATTAAAAAGAAAAAAAAACGACAAGGGATGAGAACGAGCTGGGTATATTGGAGCATCAGAGTGGGGAGTTTGTGAATAAACACTCACAAATGGGCAAGTAGGAAAATAAGTCCACTTTAACTTTAGAACACTTGGAGCCATGAGAGGAAGGCTCTCATAGTATGCTGTGGGCTTTGCGTGAGTCTCACTTAAACTCTATTTTTTAAACCAAAATGAAATGATACAGCTATTCTTAGAAGATGGACTGGGCAGTGGTGATGCACACCTTTAATCCCAGCACTTGGGAGGCAGAGACAGCTGGATCTCTGTGAGTTCTTGGCCAGTCTGGAGAGAGAGTTCCAGAACAGCCAGGACTACTACACAGAGATGTCCTATCTTGAAAAACAAGCAAACAAAAATGTAAAGAGGCTCATCTCATCCAAGAAAGCTACTTACCACAAAGCTGAACGTCCCAAGTTTGATTCCAGATACCTACACAGTGGAAGGAAAGAACCTACTCCCAAAAAGCTGTCCTCTGACCGTACAGGTACCTTGACACGCTCTCTGAGGTCAACAACTGATGTCTAAACGGTTGAGAGACAGTTGTATGTAAGTTTTTATTTAGAAATGTGAAGTCAACAGAAAAATGGCTAAACGAGCTGTCCGTAGTGGCGGGGTCTAGACAGCACTCAGCGACGGGGACAAGTGGGCCTAATGTTGCTAACCCAGCCTGCTTTTGCCATTAGGAACGATTTCATATTGCTTGATATTTGTGGTGATGAATTTTAACTCTCAGCTTGATCAGAGTAAGAAGCATATCACAGGACAGGTCGAGGAGATGGCTCTGAGGATTAAGGGCTTGCTACTCTAGCATGACGACCTGCGTTCAGATCCCAGGAACTCGGGAAATCGGACCTTGGGCATGGTAGCATACAGCACTAATCTTCACACACACACACATTTAAAAACAAAGTGATGTAGGCCCCTGGGGAATTAACAAAGCATACCTACCAACCAATGGGTATGTCGATACGAGGGTCTCCAGGATCATTCAGGTAAAGACCCGGGCCCCAGTCTCCCAGACGGATAAAAGTGAAGGAGAAACGCCGCCGTTAAGGATCTGTCCACCGCTGAGATCCACTTCCGGCACCAGACCTTCCTCACAGAAACGGGTTCAGTGAGTTGAAATAAAACCTTACTCCCTCAAGCTGCTTTTTATGTAAGCAGTAATCGAATCGAGAAGAGTAGCCATTACAATATATGAATCACATCCTTGTGCTCACATAAAATTGTCATTTAGAGAAAAGCATTTAGGACTTGATGGTTTAATAAAGCAAAGAGGAACTTTTGCGGAATCAAAGTCATAGCGACCCTTCCTAGGAAGGCCCCAGAGTGCTCAGAGGAACCAGGAGCATCAACCAACCTTCCCTAACTGCCACAGAACCCGCGGCGCGCAGGGCTGGGGGAGGCGTTCGTGTCAGGGGTTCTGCCTGAGTAGGAGCCCAGGCTGCCAAGTTTGCTTGTCAGAGCCCAGAGGGCTAGGCTCCACACTGGGTTTCCATGGGCTGCGGTGGGGCGGGAATTGACACCACCCACTGGTCTGCAACGGCAAGGAGCTCTTGGTTGAAGGTAGGGATGCTCTCTAAAGAAACTCAGCGATTCGCTTAAGGGTTCTGGGGGAGGTTGGGAGCTGCTCAGCTGAGCTAAGATGGCTCAGGCCTCTACAGCACTGAGGAAGAGGACAAGGATGCCGATACACTATTCCAGTCTTCCAAAATGATCCCCCCTTCCTTAGGAACTGGGTTCCCCAACTGGCCGGCCTACTGGGGGACACCCAATCAGACAGGAAAGATGGCTGTAACTACCCCGTGCTTGCTTACTTAAAC